TTTAATGATCATAAATCAACATAGCTATTAAATATTCAAGTATTTAATAGCTAAAATATTTTATGGCTGTAACTTGAAGGTTTATGTTGGCATTTGGAGTTAGAATGAGTGAAGACCATTTCATAGATGTTGTATTGAGGGCTTCCAAGTAAAAAGCTTTTTATATTTCTTTGGGGGAATGGCTTTTATGCCTACAAATTAAATCGTTTTGATATTTAATTCATGTTCCCAATACAGCCAAAAGCAGATGCATGCGCGCGATCTCCCCTGAATTCTCCTGGTGAAAGATTCATCATCTCCACAAAATATGTAGTTCTAGGGATCTAGAGTTTTTGCAGTACTGAAGGGATCATCTTCCTCTCTCTCCACCTCCCTCCCTGCAGCCCCCAGGAGAATGAAAGTTTCTACTCAGGACCCACATCCCCTCATGGTGGGCGTCATGAATGGTCAGAGCTCAGAAGAAACTTTTGACATCTTAAATAGGTGGTATTTGGCACCTAATAGGAGCCTGAGTAACGTTTGTTACAACAGAACGAAAATTTAGGGACAGCACCAAATAAAGTTTCAAAACAGTCTTAGCCTTTTGCAAACCCAACCTTTCTTTCTTGTCCTTTTCCATCTCGGTGACCCCAAAAGACTTTTCCTATGTCTTGCTCTCTCACCCTTCTGACTAGACCTGAGTTCTGTTCCTGTCTTTCCCACTCTGATTTAAAGGGCTAACAAGAGTCCTGCTGCTTCTTTGCATAAGAAATAGCATCAAAGCCTAGAGATCAAAAGATGAAATCTACAGCTCAGAGGAAACCCCCCAAATGTTCCAGGTTACTAGAGTTCAGGTGCTAGCTTGGGATAAGGAGTGTTGTTCTGACAAGGTGAACGTTTCATCAGGCAGAGTTTTGGTTATTCATTATTTACAGTCTTTTGATTTGGTTAGGAGACTTGATTTCTCACATCATGTTTCACTTCATTCTTTTTGAAACTATTATATTTGGAGGCAGGTACATTCCTTAGGTTCAAATCCAGTGGAATCCTTGAGGAGTATAAGTTGAGGGTGAGCTGTCACAAATGAACAACGAAAGAAGGGCATGATTTAGAATTTATTTTTCTTTGCTACTGCAGATGTTGGTGAAATTAAGCATTCTCCTCTCAGGGGGACCAAAAGGTAAATCACAGTGCCTTGTTTCCTCGTGGAAGGGAAGATTTAAGCTGAATAAATGATTTTGCATTTAATAATATTAAATTATTAATATTAAAGTATTAACTATTAAAGAGTTCTTGATGAAATATTATTTGACAGGAATAAAAACTGCCTACCACGTGCCAGATACTGCACTCCATGCTCTCCAAAATTCATTCCGTTTTTAGAAGAATCACATCATAACTACAATTTGCGGACGAGGAAACCATATCTCAGAGAAGTTAAGTAACTTACCTAAAGGCACACAGCTAATAGAAGACAAGATACAAGTTAACTGGGGATGCGTCTGTCTTGAAAACTCTGGTTCTGGCAATGACAGAGTCACTGCAGCGTTGTTGGAGGCTCCATTTTATTGATAACAAGGCGGATATACAGGGAGGTCCTGCTATACTAGCTAAAAAAAACCTGGCAGAATGTATAGTAAAAGGCAGAGGGCATTCACCTTCTCATACTAACTCTCTCTCTAGGCTTCCATGCATTCTCTTTATCATTGCTAATTTGTCCACAGGTCAAAGGCCCTTTTCTCATTATTTTGGTGAAATTGGCTGTCCACGTAGAGGTGGAAACACTGGGAGACTTGGTGCTATTTTAAAATGTCTTTAGAAATTAGAAATACCTTTGAAATTCAACCTCAATTCAACTCACCATTTAAAATATACTTTGCAGCTCAAGTCTTTGTTGTAGGTACAAAAAGGGAAAAGTATTTTGAAATTTTCAAATTATTTAATTACTGTGTTCCTTAAGCTTAGAGGCATATATATTTTGACATATCTCTTAATGGATTCAAAACACCCTCAAATTCTTATAGCAGTTGGGGGACTTTTACTCAAGAGTCAAGCTACTGTACTTTTTGAAAGTGTGGCATTCTAGTGCATGCTTGTGATTCCGATAATTGATTTGTTATAAATGCTCTCAAGTGTTTGAAAATTCCTGGGTGTTTTCCAATAAAGTGGGGGGGGGACGGCAGGTGGGGGGGGTTCTGCAATGATGGTGGACCATGGTCACCATCATTTTTTCCATGTTGCCCTATTTTTAGGAGGAATAATGTCTGTTGGATTAGAACACTTTCCCTTTAGGTAGTCAGAGTGGACAGAGGAATTTTCAGCAGCTCACTTCTGGTCTTCCACCCAGCACTGCTTTCAAGCGGAAGTTATAGTTCAGTTTTTCCCAGTTAGCATTTCCTGTCCCTTGGATCTCCAGATTATTGGGCTGTTCTGAGGCCTAAAAAGGGAAAAGAGGAAGAAAAAGGGGAAGTCACTGAAGGTACCCTAGCAAATTAAGCCTCGCTTTCAGGCAGCTGTGGCTGGAAAGACTTCGTTTAATATTCAGAATGTGTATACCAGGAGAAAAAAATGGTACACTTTTCAGAAATTTTACTGTTTTTAAGGAGGCAGTTTCCCATTTCCCATTTCAATCACATACATGCAAAACGCAAGCTCGTGCCGAGAGGCAGCCAGCAACTACCGTTTAAAATGTTTTAAGCAGAATTCGGATGGCTCTTTCCTTCTTGATACTGTGTGCCAAATGACAGGGACCGAAACGCATCTTCTTTTCGTACCAAACTCAGGAGGACACATGAAGGAGCCTAGAAATGCATTCCTTAAAGGAACTTCGTGCAGTTATTTTAAATAATTTATACACGCAGACATATACTGTATCCCCCCGGGTGCATTTTACCCCCTTTTCACTTGTGTGAAATCAGTAGCTACAATCGCGGAAATCCACTTCCTCAATCTGACATTTCAGCAGGTCTCGCACTGAGAATTCCAAAAGCCCGGAGCCGCATAAGCTGTCCCTCTTGCCCACCGACTCACAGCTGCTGCCCAGCGTCTTGCCAAGTGCGCCTGAGTGAAACGTTGCCCACCTTCCTACCCCGGGTCTGAGTTTGCACGGGTGCAGCTGTCCAGCCACGGAGAAGACACGATGTGCGGCGGAGGCCAATGACCTGGAACGGTGGCAGCGATCGGCTCTCTCCTCCCCAGCGCCCTGCACCCCTCCCGCTTGATCTAGGATTCCTTTTTCAGGGACACCGACTACTCGGGCAACCCCTGGGATGTTGACTTAGGAGTTTCTCCTTGAAACGCTTTTCGATCCCATTTTACGTAATTTAGCTGGCGAGGAGCGTGACAGGACTCCAGGTCTTCTCCACAGCCTCCCGCCACCACACAGCAGGGGTTGCCTGGGTGCGCGGGACATGGGCGGGTGGATGAAAAGATACCTCACCAACACACCTCTCTGCGGGCTGCGGGCTGCGCGTTGGCGGTCTTTGTCCGCTTGCCCTTCCGCCCGGGTCGCGCACTCCCGCCTGTGACCGGCAGGTGGCGGAGTTGGTTCACGAGAGCCGCTGCCAAAGACCAAACGGCGCTTCCAACTCGCGGAGATCGCCCTCCCGCTGGGACCCAGGCTCCCGAGGAAAACCCGGCCCAACCCCAGAGGGAGCACGAGGAGGAGCAGCCTAGGAGGAGGTTAAAGAGGGAGGCCTCGTCGGGAATCGAGGCCCCAGCAAACTTCCGCAGAAATGCACCGAGTCGCGTCGGGGGCCGGTCCCTCCATCTCTGGCTGCGATGCGGTGGCGGGACAGAGCTCAGGTGGCTGCGCCCGCGGCCGGAGCATTGGGGGATGGACCACGGCCCCGGGGGGGGGGTGTCAGCGCCCCAGGGTGTCGGCCGTGACTCCCGCGGCACCTCAGCAGGGGCAGCTGCGCAAATGTATGCGGCTCCTGCTTTTCACCACCGTCTCCTGAGGCAGGGACAGCTGTCCCGACCAGCGCGGGCTGCGATCGGACAGCAGAGCGGCGGCACCGCTCCGGACATCTTCGAGTTCCCATTTGCGACGTCCCCAGGGGCAGCTGCAGGTCCCCATCCCCTACCTTATGCCCTTCGCTTCTATCCTCCGCACCCCAGATTTGCTAGGCCGGGTTCCAGGGACTCCCCTGGGAAACACACACACACACACACACACACACACACACACACACACACACACACACACAGTTGGTTCCCTGCAGCCAGGACTATTTCGGGGGCGTCTTGCCGCGGTGGGGAGTTCTGTCCCTGGACCGGGATGAAATACCCACAGCGTGAGAGCCAAGATGGGGCGAAAGGCGGCTTCTCTGTTGCTAGAAAGCCATTCTTTGGAGACAGTGGCTGAGCCCTGCTTCCGGCCAGGCGTTGCACTCGACGTTGGGGACCGATTAGGTCCCCTCTCTCCAGGCAGCTGGGGAGCCTGTGAAGAAAGGAGTAGTCAAGCCACACAACTCCCTTCGAAGGGCATTTCATGTGGAGATGCGCCGTAAAGACACAAAACAGGGCAAGGTAGCAGAGGGCAGCTGTGGACGTGCGCAGGAGTGTGCAGCCCCAGCCCGGGCGCGCGAGGCACGAACGCTTCTACCCTCAGAAAAGGGCAAAAGCAAAGAGGCAGGTCAACTTTGTCTTTATTTTATTGTAATAAAAGAGCCTTTTCCTCCACCTCACACCGTCCGTGAGGGTAAAAAGGATTTACTAACCGTTCCTCGAGCTCCCCCCCTCAATCAATTCAGAGTCTTTCGAAGCTCCTTCCACCGCCCAAGGGCTGGACCCCTGAGGTGACGTCTGGGGACCCCGCCGCCTCCTCGGGCGGGGGCGAGGACCCCCGCGGAGTTCGCCCTCTCGAGCCAGCCGGGACCTCGCGCCCCGCCAAGACCGGGGGGCGGGGCCTCAAGACTGGCTCTGCTCAGTAGGGGCGGGGGCCAGGCCTCCCCGTCTGTACAACCATTGGCCGCGGGCCCCGGACTGGCGGGTGCACGTCACGGGCCGGGCCCACCCCCTTGGCAATGTCTTCAGCCTGCTGCACTCCTAACTTAAGCATTTATTCCACTGGGATAGAAGCGGCAGGAGCAGCGTTGGCACCGGCGAACCATGGCTGGGATATTCTATTTCGTCCTCTTTTCGTTTCTCTTTGGGATTTGCGACGCTGTCACGGGTTCCAGGGTGTACCCCGCGAATGAAGGTAAGAGCGGGCAGCCTTTCTGCTGTTGGGGACCGAGAGGGGACAATCCGCGGGCGAATAGTCCACGGGAGCGCGAGGCCAGCGGGTGTAGGGGTACCCCGGCGTGAGCGGTGCGCCCCGACTGCGGAGAAAGGGGCCGGGGCGAGGGGGTCGGCGAAGGGGAGGCGGGGGACAGCGGAGTAGCTTGCCCGGAGTCGGTCACCCGTGCTTGCGGCGAGGGTGCCCAAGTTTGTAGCGAAAGGACAAAGTTTATCAGCATCCGCCAGCGAGGCCAGCTCGAGGCGTCTCGGTGGAATTCACGGAGCCAACCCCAGGATTTAAAACAATAATTCTGTAGCCCTCCCTAGTCCTCGCTAACTCCAACCCGGGTCTAGGGGGGAATGGAAACCTGGAGCCGAGTGAGGGCTTGGTGCTCCCGGGTTCTTGTGAAAGCTTTGCAAGCTCTGGTTTCTGCAAAGTTTCACGACCCTGCGCTTCCCGGGACCCGGCTGCCGGGCCTCCGCCGCGCAGCGGTCGTGGTGCCTCTCGCCTGTCGCCGGTGACCTGATTTCTAGCACGGGGCGTCGGAAACCTTTCTCCCCGCTGGGCTCCGCGCCCGGGGGTGCGATCACTGGTCTAAGGGGCCTCACGCTCCTCATAGCATCCGTCAGACCTGGGGAACCCACCGGCAAGTTGAACGTCCTCGAGTTTTTGCTTTTTGCCTCAGAACTGTACACGGGTTAGTTTGGAGGGAACGTGCGGAGCCGACTGGACCCGTCTCTGTGCCCAGTGTTCTGTGCGTCGGTTCGCACATGCTGGAAGGGACTGTGTCTGTGTCTATGTCGAGGAGATGGGGGTTAATCATTTAGTTTCTGATGATCTCAGAGAAAGGCGAGTTGAGTGCGTGTGTATGTGTGTGTGTGTGTGTGTGTGTGTCTGTGTGTGTGTGTGTCTGTGTGCGCGCGCGCGCAAATGCGTGTATGGGGTGCGTGGTACCCGCGTGGACGCGGACGATTGTGTGTGCGCAAATGCCTTGTGTGCGCTAGTGTTCCGGCGAATGCTCGTGCTCGAGTCTCCGTGCATCTTGCCTTGCATCCGTCTCACCTACTCTTTTGCCCCTCCCTACTTATCCATCCATCCATCTATCCATCCATCCATCCATCCATCCATCCGTCCGTCCGTCCGTCCGTCCTTCCTTCCTTCCATCCTTCCGTCCATCTCTCCAGGATCCGTCCATCCATCCCTATACAATCTATCATTTTCCCTGTTCCGAAGGAGGGAGCCAAAAACCAACTTAGCCTTAGCCTGGCAGCCGGTACCCAGAGCTCGCCAGACTGAAGCTTGGAGATTCACACACCTGCCGTCAGACACTGCGTGGGAGGAAAGGGGCGCTCTCCCACTCTCCCTATCTCTTCCCTTTTTCCGACGTGGCTCCAGGTGCCATCTCGCCCATTGCCGCCCCTCGGTCCCCAGGGTCATTTCTCTAAGCGGAATCGTGGATAACCGTGTTTCCTGACTACTTCACACACTTGTTGGGAAGTCCCCAAGACCTCACCGCACCAGACGCACAGATTTTTTTTTTTTTTTTACCCAACTCTTTTTTTTTTTTTAAATAAAAGTTGGGAGCCCTAGACACAAAAAGGCGCTGATGGAGCCGTAGGCTGAGGTAGAAAGAAGCGGGGATAAGTTGCCCCTTTCTCAGACCCCTCCTCCCCCTTAAAAATTAATTCATTTTGTTGCTTTTTATTCCCATCACGTTTTCTTTTCTCCTTTTTACCCTCCCATTCTACTCCGTCCCTTTTTTTGTAAATTGGGTCTTATTGTTCCCTTTGTGTCCCTAATCCACCTTACATAAATCCAAATGGATGTAGCGGGCTTTTCTCTAGGGACCCAGAAGAGAGAATGAGGCCAGGGGTGGGGGCGCAACTCCGGGCGGGAGCAACCCAGGGAAGGCTCTACATTTTAAAATAATTAACAGACCCTAGGAATTCAGGTTTCTCGGGAAATCCCGGAGAAAAAGGCTGGTTTTTAACTCCTCTGACTTCGAGGAGAAATGAGAGGGGAAATGGTCAGAATTCAGGGGCTTGGGGCGAGCTTGAGAGTCGGGGTGCGCAGGAGCAAGGATGAAAGCTTCCCATTCCCACCCCTCCCCCAGCCTGAAGAGCCAGCCTCGCTGGTCAAATTAATAACTCAGTGGTTCCTTTGAGATGGGCCTTTCGACCTCCAGGCCTGCAGATCTCGGTGGGAAAGGGAACGTGGAGAGGTTAGGAATTTACTGCGTCGTTTTCAATGCTCTAGGTGCCCGGGCAGGGTACAACAGCTCGGTAGCCTCTCTCCCGGTCCCCCTAAGCTTTGACGCACGCTTTTAGGTGTACCACAAGCTTACAAAACCTATTAGGTGGCACTCCAGACCTAAAATTCAAACTCCTTGATTTCCTCTTGGGTGGAGGAGGAGTCTCCGATTGTCCTCAAAAAGACCTGGGAAAGAGAATACTTCAATTCATTTGCATTCTAATTCTACACGTCTGCCATGCCCCCTTCTGAAACTTTGATATTTGAAAAGGCAGCGGATACCACATCCAGGGCCGATTTATTTGGTGGTGTGTGGGGAGGGGAAATGGTAGGGGAGAGAGCCTTTTCATGACCCTTTGAGTAGTCTCAGATAGAATTCACTTGTGGCTCTGTCACCATGATGATGAGTTATGTGGTCATCTGAAACTTGCAAAAACAAATAACTCCAGTAGATACCAGACAAAGATGAATGCAGATTTTGCTCTGGAGTGCAACTGCCCTCCATAGATATATTTATTTTTTGAATTGTACTTGAGATTCTCTATTCATCCTTTTAAGAAAATGAATCAACTGAGTCCTGGGATGGAATTTTAAAGGCTAAGCAAGTTAAATAAATAAGAACTTGCAGATTTAAAGAGGGGAGAAGATCAAGTGAGTAATGATTATTTACATAAGTGAGACCAAGTTTAGGTTTTGATCAGAGTTGGATATGTGCAGCCTCGGCACATATGGAAACGCTCAAGCAAATGGTTTTCGTAGTATTGGCTTTTTGCGATTGGAAATTAATCTATTTTTCTTTTCTTTCTTTCTTTTTTTTTTTTTTTACAGTTACCTTATTGGATTCCAGATCCGTTCAGGGAGAACTTGGGTGGATAGCCAGCCCTCTGGAGGGCGGGGTAAGTTCCGAGTTCCTCTGCTCCAAAGGGTAAAAAGGAGTGATTAGCAACTTTCTGAGAGTCCTAATGGCTTGATTCTTGTTGATTGTGGTGAGGGGTCAGATTTCCGCCAAGGCCTATGAAGTGAATTACGCTTTGTTGCAGAAATCCTATACTCCCCTTGGATAAGTCTGTCATGGAACCAAAAGGGCAGAAAGGGTTTTCAGAGTTAGGAGATTGGTAGAGGCATAGACTTAGGTGCCTATTTAAAACGAATATACTGACAAGAAACACAATCTGGGGACTAAATTAGAATTTCTGTCTATTATTGCGATGGCCATGAAGTCCTGACAGCGTTGATGTTAAAGGAATCATTCTGTTCCCAGTGAGAAACATACATAAGTAAAGACGGCAGGGAGAAAACACTTCTAATTGTACCCGATGAGGCAGCAGACACACCTTACCTCGCTGTCACCACCATCCTAAAGCAGCTGCTGTGTGTCTTGCACACTGAGAGAAAGCAACGCGAACTTGTGCCAGGGCCACCGTAAATGCAGAAAGCAGCACAGGCTCGAGCATTGTTGGTGTTAAATTTGAAAAGTTCAAGGATCTGAAATCTTGGCTCTTTGGTGATGGGGAGGCCGGATTATAAAGTTATGAGAGAGCACCTCGCTGTTCATTTCTTCTCAAATTTGTTATCACTGTCTCCCCTGGAAGATTGAGAGAATAGAAATAGGTCAATGACCACATTCTCCTACCCCATCCTCTCCCTTTAATAACAGGTCAGAATGAATCAGCTTTGGAAAGAAATCAGTACAACGTGTATCTCTGGCTTCTGCCAAATTGAAATAACTTTCAAATCCTTTAAAAATTAAGCATATCATCCTACCTTTACACGCTTGATAGTCTATGACTGAGTCAAGTGTTTAAAAACAATAGGGATGAAAGAAAGATTAAGAGTCTTAACCAGGCAAAAATTGTAATGCCAGCACCCAGTATGATGCTTCATCCTGTCCAATGAATAAGCAATAAAAGATTAAAAAAAAATAAACATCTATTAGAACTGTTAAAGAAGACAGGTTTCAAAAATAAAGACAAGGCAAGAAACAGTCATGAAAATGGAGAATTTTAAGCTGTATTTTTCCAAAGCAGGTCTTGTAATCCATTTGAAAGAAAACGGAGATTGCCCTGCCTTCCTGTTTTTCTGCCTGAACTTGACTGCCTTTGGATGGGTCTCTGCTGAAAAAATTCCAGTCTGCCCTCAAAACCATTTTTTTCAAGGGAGGGAGAATGATTGGCAGGCCTCTGGCAGTGTAGACAGGCTGTATTCACCACTGATTGCAGGCAATTGCCCTCATCCTTTGAATGTGAAGAAAGGCACAGCTTTATCTTGTGAGAGTCAGACTCTTGTTAATCCTATACCCTGGAAAGGTCACTGATTCGGGAAGGCTTTTCCATGCTACACCACGGCCATTGCTCTGTAGGTTGAATGGATTAGAACTGTCCGCAAAATTGAGGATGGAAGGTGTCAGTACTTCCATTAAAATTTTTAATGAGCCTTATTTTTCTTACTGGCTGCTCTCAAGTTAGAAGACAGAGTGCATCATGTATGATTTGGGATCTGACTTGTTACACTAAATATACATGGACCTATTTAAAAGCAAGGGGTGATACGTTGTCTAGTACAGTCTATGGTCTATCTAGTTTCTAGAAAGCTTTTATTACAATTTAATATGCTGCAGACTTCCCCCACGTCCACCCCACCCCTTTCCTGAAACTGCTGAAAAAGCACCTACGTTTTCTAGACACAAAACTCTCTCTCTTGAGGTCTCTTAAAAAAAAAAAAAAAGCCATGCATACTGATAGTTGTATACAATCCAGAACTTTTTATGGGCTGACTGTAGACAGAGTTTTCCTGTCCTTAAATATTATGTGTAACATTTTAAGTATTATTGTGAGGGGTTAGAAGTGAAATTTTACTTGTGCATAAGAGAAACAGACATTCCAAAATGCATAGTAGCCATTGAGAAATTATGTGCCAAATTATAAAGTTTAATTAATCTCTGGATTGTGTAATTGAAGAGGACTTTTTCAGGCTAAGAGTGATGGATGAATTAGACATCTACCAAATAAGGATGAACTGGCTTTCAAAAGTTCTTTCTAACTGAGGGGTGAAGCATATTTGAGTCTTTTGATTATTTTGAAATCTCTACTTATAGTTAGAACAGATTACATCTTTCTTGGCTGGAAATTTGGGATTAGAGTTTTACCCAATAATAACATTTATTTGTCGTTGTTATTATTTTTTTAAAAAAAGACAAATCTTATTTGACAATACCACCAAGTAAAAAATAAAATATAGTCAGAGACAACTCACTGCTCTCTTGTTTTTCCATCAGAACAACTAAGCATAACATGAGAATAATAGAAAGTGATGGCTCCTGATGGCAACGTTGTAGCAAAAACCTAATTTCTGGGCAGTGTTCATTTAAAGGAGTATATTGAGTTTCTGACATGGATTGTAAAATACAAAACCAAGGGGAGATTTGTCATTGTTCTGGTGAATTGATCAGTGTGTTTAGGCAATCAAGCTTAGGCTGGAAAATTCGTATTAGACCTGAATTATCCTGAATGAACTCTGTGGAGATATCCCTATGTGCTTTCATTTACATTGATAAATGTGTTTTTCTGTATTCTCTTTGTTTTGAGATGAGAAGAATGCTGAGTGGTTTTTAATTTTTGAAGGTGGGGATCTATTTGTGGATTTACAGGAATTTCCCCAAATAAGTAAATTACTGGTAATTTATTACTTAGTGAAGAAAAAGAAATTTTAATCACCGCAGGTCACTTATCCCTCCCAGCTCCAACATTCATAACGGTAGCAGATGAAAGGGATACAAAACTGTGCATTACCACCCTTCACATAGTAGCACTTCCATCCATTAATAGTTTTCCAATGTACAGATGGAAAACCTGTTAAAAGATACATTATGATTCTATGTACTTCATTTTATTGAATGGAACTTTAAGTGGAGCTATTATAGAATGCAAATTTTTTTAAACTATCTTTTTTTTTCTAGTTATATTCATGTGTTAGATACTTAAGCTAATTTATATCAGGTCTATGTAAATACACTACTGTAGATATTAGTGAAGAATTGGAGGCTGCCTACCAGTTTTGCAGGAGCCCTCAAACAATCTTCCTGCTTTTAGGGCTATTTTTTAAAGCCATGCAAGAGTGAAATTATTACTGTAGTCACAGTGAATTCAGGTTGTCCCACCATTGGAATCTTTATGTTAGGAAGCAGATTGTGAAGAAAACTCTACCATCCTTCTGTAATTTTCTTGGGCTTCCAGTCGTAAATACCTCTGAACATTTTATTTTCAACATCCTCAGAATGTTTAGAAGCAAAGCATATGTGCATTCTTGTTTACTTATGTGTATATGTTTTAAAAGTAGGAACGATATACAAACATTTAATTGAATAAATGCTCTTGAAAAGTGTTCCACCATTATAAATGACAGTGTAATTGAGAAATCCAACCAGAAAGTTTACTCTCTGCCTTCCCAGGATTACCAAAACCAGAATGGCGAGATTTTCTTTTCTCCTTTAAAGAGTAGTGACAGTGCCAAAAAGAAAAAGAAAAAAAAAAATCGACTGACATTTTTTTAGGTATTAGAGAGCAAAGTTCTGACAGGAGCACCACTAATTAACTGATAATTGTCTTCCTTTGGCAAGCTCGACTCTTCCTGCTCTTAATTTGCAGGTCTCAGCTCTGTTGTTGAAACAATACGCACTCTAGTTTTTCATTGATGAGCAAGTTTGAACTGTTGCCACTTGAAATTGTAGCTGTCGTAATAGGTGAATTTCAGGTTGTTAGACCACCACAAGGAACTGCTGAGAACTCATAAGCAATAAATCCACCATGGCCTCTGGATTTTAGGCAAAAGAATGAAACAATTAAAAAACAAACAAACAAACAAACAAAAAACCACTTCCCCGGTAAAATACTGTCTTATCTCCATAAGAGGCTTTACTAGCGAGGACTGGTGCTCAGTCGTTTTCTTACTGAAACAAAAATTACAAATGTCTTATGAGAGTAATAATGCAGGATTGTCAGAGCACTGCATGATGGCGTTTTGTAATTGATACATTTCCTTTGGAATTTTGCAGTGGGAGGAAGTGAGTATTATGGATGAAAAAAACACGCCCATCCGAACCTATCAAGTGTGTAACGTGATGGAGCCCAGCCAGAATAACTGGCTCCGAACTGATTGGATCACACGAGAGGGGGCTCAGAGGGTGTACATTGAGATCAAGTTCACTTTGAGGGATTGCAATAGTCTTCCCGGTGTCATGGGGACTTGCAAGGAGACGTTTAACCTGTACTACTACGAATCAGACAACGACAAAGAGCGTTTTATCCGAGAGAGCCAGTTTGCCAAAATCGACACCATCGCCGCCGACGAGAGCTTCACCCAAGTGGACATTGGCGACAGGATCATGAAGCTCAACACCGAGATCCGGGATGTAGGGCCGTTGAGCAAAAAGGGGTTTTACCTCGCTTTTCAGGATGTGGGCGCCTGCATTGCCCTGGTATCGGTCCGCGTGTTCTATAAGAAGTGTCCGCTCACGGTTCGCAATCTGGCCCAGTTTCCAGACACCATCACGGGGGCCGACACGTCTTCTCTGGTGGAAGTCCGAGGCTCCTGTGTCAACAACTCAGAAGAGAAAGATGTGCCAAAAATGTACTGCGGGGCAGATGGCGAATGGCTGGTACCCATTGGCAACTGCCTATGCAATGCTGGGCATGAAGAGCGGAATGGAGAATGCCAAGGTAAGACAAGCCATATTGTGCTTTTCATTAGGGCTTAGTGCACGTAATTAAATCAGAGATGAGACTAAATGGAGTCAAGCCAGTAATTAGCAGCCCCTGTGGGATGTGGTGGGACAGAGGGGTCTAATGAGGAAGTGCTATCGCTCCAGGTGGCAAGGCTAAGACCGTTCGAATACTGACAAAGTGAATGATGCTGCTTGTAATGAGTAAAGGCCGAACACATTTGCTTAGCGGGCACTTAGCTCTGAACTGGCTGGATGTAAATGAACAAGCTGAAGAAAGCGGGCTGGATTGATCCTACCCTAAAGAGGGTGGACACTTTTTCAAACCATAGTGTTCCTGTCTCTAGACATGGTAAAACGATAAACTCTCCCATCACATGTGCATGTGCATGAACAATTTACGTGTGAAATTAGGATTGTTTGTGGTTCCAATTCCCTCGAACTGTGTGGAAAAAAAAAAATCCAGCCTTCCCCTCCCTGTGGGCAAGTGTAGACATGATTCAGTGTAGACATGGATTGACAGTGTTTCAAATACATTTGTTCCGCTGAGCACCCACTGATAGGGACCCTCAGTGAAATTAATCTTGATGAAAGACTTTTATTTCCCCAAGGAGGTGATAAAGAGCTAGTAAGAGTCTTCTTATTTGATCTGTGGTCAGAGGCAATACTAAATTGTGATCCATTTTGGTTATTGAGTTTTGGAAGAAATCTAAGAGTTTTTATCATGTTAATTTCTATGTATCAT